AAAAAAATATAAGTCTAAGCATTTAAGGGTTTTGGCCAAATCCACAAATACTTCCTATTTTCTCCTGGATGTTGTTATAGATAGAATAACCTCAAAGGGATAAATTAAAGGCCACTGTGGATAAGAAACAAATAAAATTATAGCTAGATTTACTATTTTACAAATAATTTCCTCTAAACCCCAAAATATATAGACCTCTTAGTGGCATTAGGATTGGAGGAAGACTCATTAACAACTTGCGGTATGTAGATAACACAACCTTCCTCACCCAAACTGAAGAGCACCTGAAGTGTTTGCTGAAGAAGGTCAAGGACTGCAGCCTTCAATATGAATTGAAAGTCAACATCAAGAATACGAAGATTCTCACCACTGGGCCAATTGACAGCACGATTATAGATGGAGAAGAGATTGAGATTGTTAACACTTTGTTTGCTTGATTCCACAATCAATACCCTTGGCACCAGCAGTCAGGAAATCAAAAGACAAATTGCATTGGAAAAATCTGCTATCAAGGGCCTCTCCAGAGTGCTAAAGAGTAATGATGTCAGTCTGAAGACTAAGGTGCACCTGATCCAGGCCATAGTCTTCGCAGTCACTTGCTAGTCTTCAGAGAGCTGGACAATGAATAATGATGACAGAAGAATTGACACTTTTGAATTATAATTCTGGAGAAGAGTCTTGAACATACCATGGACTTCCAAGAGAATGAACAGTTTTATCCTGGAGAGGATGAAATCAAGTTACTCCTCGGAGGCTAAGATTTTGATCTGTCTCACATACTTTGATCATATTGCTAGAAGGGATCAGTCCTTGGAGAAGGAAATGACACATGGTAGAAAAGAGGGACAGCACAGGAGAGGAAAATTCCGGATGGGATGGATTGACACAGTAACTGGTGTAATAAGGGCAGTTGTGTCAGAGGCAGTGAGATCTGCTTAGGACAGAATAGGGTTCAGAGCTATTGTGCATAGGCTCACTCTGAGTCGAAGGTGATTTGATGGCACATAACAACAACAACAACAACAAACAACAAAGACTCTTAATTGGACTGAAGCTTGAAATATATTGCTCTTCATAAATAAGCATGGACTCTCAAAAGAGAATTTTTCTTCATTTCTTGGTCTTCTAAGAAGTATTTTATTATTATTACACTTACACTGTGGCTTGAGAGTAAGGAGATAAGTGTCCTTTTCATTATGAGTAATGAGAAGTGAACTAGACAAACAAGGACTGTCCTTCTCTTCTTCTACTGCAAAAGGATCTATAATTTCTGTAATCACTGAAGAAAAAAATCCTTGACGATTCGTGTGCTGTAATACCTCTTTTATAGAAGAACTTCCAGATTTCCTAAAAGTAAACCAGCAAATATTAAGAAATTTGACACTAAATTTGATTCACATTGTGCTTCGTACAATCATTCCCATTCATCATATTTTATCAAATTAAGCAGCACTGAACTATGCCCACCATTACCCTGTCTTTCCAGATCCCTGCTGGATCTTTCCTATTGTTATGAAGGTTAGTGTGAGACACATTGTATACTAACTTTGTAAGCAAACTAATATAAAATAAAAATTTATTTTTTTATTAGAAAAGATTTAAGAAATTGAATTGGGGGGGAAGGGTGGGCAGGGAGAAAAGTGCAACAATGAATAAATGAAAATCCAAAGTCTCTGTAAACGTTCATTAAAATTAATTTAAAAAAATGTGAATTCACCATCAGGTTAGATGAGTAAGTTTATGACTAGATTATGTCCAGACTCTTTACCACAAACGACTAACAAACGAACATTTGCTCAACAGTTACTGAATCTCCTTAGAAACGCCAGTAGTAAAATACCATTGTTTCATCCAAGCTATGGCATTTTCATTCACTTCATATGTATACGACAGTTAGATAGTGAATAAGGAAGACCAAAGAAGAATTGATGCCTTTGAGTTATGGTGTCAGTGAAGAGTAGGTCATATGTCATGGACTGCCTAAAGTCCAAACAAAGAAGTACTGGATGTACAGCCAGAGTGTCCTTAGCAGTAAGGGTGATGAGACGGCCTCTCATATATTTTGGTCATTTTAGCAGGAAGGACTAGTTCCTAGAAATGCACACTATACTTGGAAAAGTCAAAGGTCAACAAAGGAGAGAAAGACCATCAGTGAGATGGATTGGCCAGTGGCTGCATAAATGGGCTCCAGCGTATCACAGATTGTGAGGATGATACAGGAGCAGACAGGATTTCCTTCTGTTATGCATGAGGTGACTGTGAACTGGAGCCAACTCCATGACCCCTAACAACAACAAATTATTTTTTATTATTAATTTTAATGAAAGTTTACAGAGACTTTAAATTTCCATTCATTCATTATTGCACTTTTCTCCCTGTCCACCCCCCCCATAATTCACTCTTCTTTTTGAAAAGTAAAATAAAATTTCTTTCATTGTTATACAATCTCTCCCCCCAGATCTACTCCACTGTGCAGCCTTCGTTCTGGACTCCTGTCATGACAATAATACCTAATCATATATCCCATTAAACAGTTCTCTCCATCCTCTATTTCAATGCAGTCTTTCTAGTTTATCCCATCTTTCTCAGTCTCTGCCAATGTCCTCCCAACCCCAGTGTCAATCCTGTTTTACAGCAGTGGCACCATGCAAGATTTGTCCTTTTGTGATGGAGATATTTCACTCAGCATAATGTCCTCCAGGGTCACCCATTTTGAATAATATTGCATTATTTCCTTGTTTTTCAATGCAGTGTAGTAGTCCATTGTGTGAATATACCACAGCTTCTCTATCCATTCGTTTGTTGATGGGCACTTAGGTTATTTCCAACTCTTTGCTATTGTGAACAAAGCTATGATAAACATGGGTGTGCATATATTTGCTTGGGTGGCAGTTATGGTTTCTTTTTAAAAAGTATTTGCAATGAATAAATGATTGTAGGTACAAAATTCTATCATTCTATTTCCAGCCTCCTATCAATTACCAAGCCCATAGATCTCAATCTGCTGGGATGCTGCAACCTTTAGAGACAGGGTGAGTTTCTTATAATCTGAAATTGTTCCCTTTTTTAGTTCTTTAATTTCAGGAGTTAAAGAATTTATGCCTCCAAGGCCTACTGCAATACAGTCAGACCCACTCAGTAGGTGAGTGGGTGGCATGTCAGTGGATCTTTATAGAGGAGATCATTCCATCTTTCTCCCACAGAAATGTTCTTGGGTTTTGACTACCTACTTTCAGTTGGCAGCTCAGCATAACACTATGACACCAAAGTCTCTTAAAACACATTGTTCTCAAGTTGATTCTTTTTTTCTTAATTAGACTTGGATTTTTTTTTTAAGTATGAGTTGAGTGAAAACTGTTGAGTGAAAACTTACAGAGAAATGTGGTTTTCCAATCATGCAGACAGGCTTTTTTTATATGAATAAAAATACTCATGCTGTAACCACACTCTTTCCACTTCTTCCCTATAATTCTCATTCGCATTTACCTTTCTCTCTTACCCCTTCCTGCTTCTGAGTTTTATCACTGGGGAAATTCTACCCTTGATTGTTCTCAGGAGAGAGAATCTCCCTGTGTTGAACGACTTCTGACACATGGCAACTTGACACTTGACTTTAGAGGTTGTAAATCTTAAGGTGCATCTGATTCAAGCCACGGTATTTTCAATTCCTAGTTATGCATCTGAAAGTTGGACAATGACTAAGGACAGAGAAGAATCAATGCCTTTGAGTTGTGGTGTTGGATAAGACTTACGAATATCTCATGGACTGACAAAAGAATAAGCCAAAAGAACAAAGCATATGTCTTGAAGAAGGTGCAGCCGGGTGCTTCTTAGAGGCCAGGATTGTAAAACTTTGACTCCCATTCATTGGGCTTATTATTAGAAAGGGCCTATCCTTAGGAAAGGATATCATGCTTGAAAGGCTCAAGGGTCAGTAAAACAGACGAAGGCCCACAACAGAATAGACTGACACAGTGGCCATAGCAGTGGGCTCGAATGAATCAGTAAGATGGTGTAGGATAGGGCAGGATTCAGGTCAGCTGTTCATAGGGTCGCTATGCATCATAGTTGACATGACAGCAACAGAACAAAACCCAAGGCAGTAGATTACCTCATCTTTCTTCCAAGGAGTGGCTGGTGGGTTAGAACTGCTGAACTTTCAATCAACAGTCCAATACTCAGCCCAATATGCCACCAGGGTTCCCTAAGCAACTAACAAGACCCTTAAAATAGTTTTCTGGTTAGTGGTTCTTGCTGATTTAATTAGAAGAAAACATTTCATGATTTCTGCATCCCACGTAAGATGGAAACCAGTACGTGCAATTATTTTTCTTTTGTGTATCGGAATTACTCGGTAAGGGAACAGCATGAATAGATAATCTTCAGTGTGGCCCAGGCAAGTTGCATTTCCTATGTGACAAAGACGCATTTCAATAGCTTGGTCTGATGGTGCTAGTGTGAATGGCCCCAGGTTGGTTTTGGGTTTTTTTTTAAATTGGAACATATAGCAAGACAGCTTGAGTCTATAATGTATTTAGGTTCTTAAGAGTCAGAAAAAAAAGGAAAAAAGTGTATTCATTTTGACAAAAATAACCCTATAAAAAAAAAAGATGAAGAATCCAGAAACTAGTGTGCAATTTAAGCAAATATGAAGCAAACCATGAATTACCTGGAGTAGATAATTTTTCCCAAGTGAATATTGCCGAATTTTTTGAAGTTTATAGTTGCCGGAGGTTCATCCGGGGGGACATAAGCAAAGAAAATAATCTCATTTAAGTAGATGAACTGCGGAGCAAGGGCAGTCATAAAGCCCATATCAACATTCTGGAATATGAAAAAAAAAGAAGTACTGTGTTTAAGCAATCTTATATTCATTTTCTGACAAGATGCAAACAGCCGGTTTGTTTCCAGTTCACCTTCTTGTTAGGTGCAGATGAATATGGAGTCTGACTCATCGTGACACCGTGAACAGCAGATGTGAACCCTGTCCTGTCCTGTGCCATCCTCATCATCTCTGACATAACTGAGCCCACTGAGTCCCTGTGTCTGTCCATCTCATTGAGGGTCTTCCTCTCTTTCACCGACCCTCCACCTTTCCAAGTATGATGTCCCTTTCCAAGGAATAGGCTCTTTTAGCAACATGCCCAGTGAGTCTTCTGGTGGCTTAGTGGTAAGGAGCTGTCCCACCAACCTTAAGACCCTCAGTTCAAATCCACCAGCTGTTCTATGGGAGAAACATGGGCAATCTCCTCTTGTGCAATTTACTGCCTCTGAAAATCCACTGGAAGGTCAACTCTGGGTAAGTTTCAACTTGATGGTATATAACAACAACAACAACAAACCAGTAACATGCCCAAAGTATGGGATACAAAACTTTGCCATCCTTCCCTCTAAGGGCCACTCTGGCTGCACTTTCTCCAAGATTTATCTATTTGTTCTTTTGGCAGTCTAGGGAATATTCAGTACGCTTTTTCTAATACTACAGATTAAGGGCATTGACTCTTCTGTCATTTTTATTTATCAAAACATTACTGTTCTCCTAATCTAGTGGAGAATCTGTTCTGTGTGAATACAGTTCAACATGTTGTGTTTGACTATCCATGTACATGTAAGGGGAAAATGTGTGTTTTATGTTGAGGAGGAACTGTAATTCTGATGACTAACATAACAAGTGTTTGCGCTTTGTAGAAGGTTCAAGTAGAAGGATGTAAGGAAGCTTGATTCCTCTAGAAACCCCTAGTTAGTCTACCACCTTTTGGGGAGGCATCTGGAGATGGAAGTTTTAGAACCGGGTTGTTATTTGAGGTTCTGTTTAGGAAAGGACCTGTGAAGGACTTCTCACTTGAAAGTAACCCTCAAAGTGAAACCAGAGTGTTCCTTGGAGGCAAAGATAGTGAAACTCCATCACACACACTTTGGGCATGTTTTCCAGACAAGCCAGTCCTTGGAGAAGAACATGATGCTTGGAAGGATGAAGGACCAGTGCAGTAGAGGAAGACTGTGAACAAACTTGAATGACATGATGGCGGTGGCACTTGTGTTAGTTGTGTCAGCAGTGATAGTGATTTTGGCTCAGGACAGATCAAGTTTTACAGCCATTGTTCATAGGGTCACTAGTAGTCATAATCAACTCTAAAACACCTAACAACAGCAAGATGGCACCAGGACTCATTTGAAGAATTATAAAATAGCATTCTAAATTCCATTCTCTAAAATGACATTCTACTTGTTAGTCATAATACTGCATTATTGAGGTGATACTACAAATTGCCAAACTAGTGATCAGAATGTATCAGTAGTGTCCTGTGACACAGCATCAGAAAAATACATCCCAACATTTATAGAAAAAAAAATAAAGTTTCTATAAGAACTAAAAAAAAAAAGTAACCCTCGTAGTCTAATGCTAGGACCCTCCATGCTATCCTGTGATTCTCCTGCTTCACGTTGCACGTGTCGTTCTCATTTCCTCTGATTCACAGGCTTCTCTAGCAAGCAAGACGGGAATTCTTCTTCTTAATTTCAATGAAAATTTACAGATACTTTGGATTTCTTTTTAAAATTTTTAAAAATTTTATTAATTTTAATTAAGGTTTACAGAGATTTTGGATTTCCATTCATTCATTGTTGCATTTTTCTCCCTGCCCACCACTCCCCGACCCCTGTTAGCTCTTCTTTTTGAAAAGTAAAATTCTTTCATTGTTATACAATCCCTCCCCCAAGTCCACTCCACTGTGCAGCCTTCATTCTGGACTCCTATCATGACAATAAGACCTAATCATATATCGCTTTTTAATAGTTCTCTCCCTCATCTGTTTCAGTGCAGTATACATTATTTATCCCATCTTTCTCAGTTTTCACTCAACCCCAATGTTAGTCCTGTTTTACAATAGTGGCTCTATGCAATATTTGTCCTTTTATGACTTGAGATATTTCACTCAGCATAATGTCCTCCATGATCACACATTTTGTGTAATATTCATGAGTTCCTTGTTTTTCAATACAGAGTAGTATTCCATTGTGTGAATATACCAGAGCTTCTCTATCCATTTGTTTGTTGATGGGCACTTGGGTTGTTTCCGAACAAAACCGCAATAAACATGGATGTGCATATATCTGCTTGGGTGGAAGTTATGATTTGTTTAGGGTTTATTCCTAGTAGTGGAATTGCTGGGTCAAATTGTATTTCTATTTGCAACTTTTTGAGAAAGCTCCATACAGCCTTCCACGGTGGTTGCACCATTTTACACTCCCACCAACAGTGAATAAAGGTTCCAGTTTCTCTGCAACCTTGCCAGCATATGATGTTTGCCGTTCTGTTAAATTTTGCTATTCTGACTGGGGTGAGATGATATCTCATAGTTATTTTGATTTGCATCTCTCTTAGAGCTAGGGATTTTGAACATTTCTTCATGTGCTTATTGGCCTTCCGAATGTCTTCTTTGGTGAAGTGTCTGTTCATGTCCTGTGCCCATTTTTCAATTGGGTTATTTACCTTTATCTTGTTGTGGTGCTTGAGTATTTTATAAATTCTAGATATAAGTCCCTTGTCTGACATGTCATTACCAAATACTTTTTCCAGTCTGTGGCTTCCCTTTTTACCCTGTTGAAGAAGTTTTTGGATATGCATAGGGATTTGATTCTTAGAAGTTCACATTCATCTATTTTATCCTCTTGTGGTTGTAGATTTTCCAGGATGCTTGTGACTGTTTATGTTGTGGATTAGGACTTCTAGAGTTCTTCCAAGCTTTTCTCTAATGAAGTTTATAGTCCTTGGTTTTAGTTCTAGGTCCACGATCCACCTTGAGTTGGTTTTTGTGTATAGAGTGAGGTGTGGATCTTGCTTGAGTCTTCTGCAGATAGTTTTCCAATTTTGCAAGCACCGTTTGTTAAAAAAGGTTGTCATTTCCCCACTTAACTTATTTCATCTCCTTGTCAAAAATCAGTTGACCATATGTAGATGGGCTGATTTCTGGATTCTCAATTCTATTCCACTGATCTATGTGTCTGTCATTGTACCAGTACCACGCTGTCTTGACAACCACGGCAGTGTAGCAGTATTTAAAATCAGGGAGTGAGATGCCTCCTATCTTGCTTCTCTTTTTAAAGAGTGCTTTTCTTATTTGGGGCCTTTTTCTATTCCAAATGAAATTGGAGATTGCCTTTTCCATCCCGTTGAAGAGTGGAATTGGTATTTGTGTTGGAATTGCATTGAACCTGTAAATTGCCTTTGGTAATATTGCAATTTTCTTTTGGTAATATTGTCATTGAGTCTTTCTATCCATGAGCAAGGGATATGCTTCCACTTCTCCCAGAATTTTTTTTTTTTTTCGTTTAACCCAGGCATTCTTGACCATGATTTCTAACACACAGATCTTCTCTTCTTGTCCTGCTTTCTCCTCTTCTGATCCTGGGACGTTTTAGGCTTGAGAAGAGAGATGTGAATGATCCCCTAAGGAGATGAGAGGAATGACCTTATTGTTGTCAGATGAGGAAAGGGTGGTAAACAGCACAGACTGGCTAGGATGACTCCAACACTCATTGCCATCATGACTTCCTTCCTCGGCTCTCAAATTTGAGCAAGGATGTGAGTGGGAAGGAGATACAAGGAAGATAAGCACAGGATGGTCCAGAAGGCATGAGGCTTTTTAAGATTACTGGAAGTTACTTCCAATTCCAGCGAGGGTGATGGCAAAAGTATCCGTGAAAGGTACATGCACATTCAGTGGAAGACAGTGTAGTGGCTAATGAGAGTAATTTGTCTGGGATAGGCTTATGAGTTGTGTGATTCTGGGGAAAATTGTTTTTTTAGGTCCCTGCCAGATCCCTTCCCATTTCCTCCACCCACCAAACTGTGCAGCCCTGTGGTTTTGCCCCTACCCATCCTCACTCCTCTGCTCCCACCCCATCCACTCTTGAGTCCCCATTCACATTTTAGTAGTTATCCTTCTATTTTTTCTGTAATGGTCTTATGTGGTATTTGTCCTTATTAGACTCTGTTAGTTCGCTCAGCATGGGTATCTCCAGTCTCTCCCAGGTTATGTAGTGTTCTTGGAAATCATTGCTCCTGAGTGCTGCATAGTATTCCATTGCATGAATGTACTACAATTTCTCAATCCATTCAGTTGCAGTTGAATATTTGGGCTGTTTCATGTTCTTGCGATGGTGGAAAATGCTGCTATGCATATTGATGTACAGATCTCTGTTTGTGTCTCAGTTCTAATTTCCTTGAGGTATTTTCCTAGTAGTGGAATAGATGGGTCATAAGGAGTTTCTGTGTTAAACTTTTTGAGTAAATGCCAAACGGTCTTCCAGAGTAGTTATTCCATTTTACAATCTCACCAACAGTGTACGACAGTTCCCATCTTACTATTTCCTCTCCAACATTTCTTGTTTTCTCCCCTGCTACTCACCCTGACCTCAAAACCTACTACGCAGCTGTAGTAACCAAAGCAACATAGTACTGGTACAATGACAGGCACATAGACCAATGGAACAGAACTGAGAACTCACAGATGGACCTCTCTTATCTATGGTCAACTGATACTTGTCAAGGAAAGAAAAGCTATCAAATGGGGAAATGGCAACCTCTTTAACCAATGGTGCTGGAAAAACTTCACTGCTACCTGCAGAAAGCTGAAACAGCATTCACATCATCTCACCATATAAACAAATCAACTCAAGGTGGATCAGAGACCTGGGAGTAAAGCCTGAAACCCTAATGTTCACCAAAGACAAACAGGGATCAAGCTTTGAAGGCTAGTCTATGGTATAAGGACAAATACAGCCAGAAATGCACAATCTGGAGAGGATAAAAATTGATGAATGGAACCTTCTGAAGATTAAATCCCTGTGCACATCAAAAACTTTTTTCAACAGGGTGAAAAGAAAACCTACTGACTGGGAACAAACATTTGACTATACTGTCTCAGACAAGGGTCTCATAACAAAAATTTACAGGCTGCTCCTGGAACTCCAGAAGAAAAGACTGAAAATGCAATTACAAAATGGGCAAAAGACATGGAAAGACTTTTCACAGAGGAAGACATGTGGATGGCCAACAGACACATGAAGATATGCTCCAAATCACTGGCAATAAGAAAGATGCAAATCAAAACCACAATGAGATACCATCTCACCCCAGTAGCAGTGGGGAAATTCTTTAGCCAGTAAATGAGAAAAAGTTGTAAAGATTTAGAGCTCACAGTAGTGCCAGAACATAAAAAAACCAAATAATGATCAGCAATTCTTTTTATGCAGAGAAGAGTAATTCATGATTTGTTTGGTGTGGGTTGGGTGAGATTGTTGAGTTTTGGGTTCAAACGTATAGTAAGAATCAAAATCCCCATCTCCTTTCTATTTTATCAATTCACATTTTACTCAAAAGAGCTAAGATATTTTATACAAACTACAAGGTAAATGCAAAGTTGCAGTAATTGGGGTTTTTTTTGCTTTTATTTTTAATTCTCCCCCACTTTAATTTTTATATTCGTTTGCATACAAAATCTGTATACACCATCTATCATCTCTATATCTATCATCCATGTGCAATGCATTTCATGCATTCCTACCTTCACATTGTGTTTCAGTCACTCACGAACGTTGCACTTTATAAAATTAATCACCATAGATCTATGTCTACTATTCCCCTGGCTTTTCAAGTCCCCATAGCATCTTTTCTAATTCTTTTACTCACGTCACCCAGCTCATCCAAGTCAGTTATCTTAGTAATTTCCTCCCCTCCCCACGCTCTGTCCCCACAACCCTCGGCCCCCTTCTCCTTGCTGTTTTGGAATTTAATCCACATTTACGTTCGTAGTAACATTATTTACAATAGCAAGATGGAAACAACCCAAATGTCCATCAACAAATTACAACACCTTCATACAATGGGATATTATGCAGCACTAAGGAGCTATGATTTTGTAAAATACTATATAACACGGGAGAATCTAGACAGCATTATGCTGAATGGACTAACTCAGTCTCGTAAGGACAAATACTGCCTAAGACCATGATTGTGAAAATAGAAGGATAACTAGTAAGATGTGGATAAAACTGTGGGTTTTTTGGTTTGTTTTTTAGTTCTACTGTCCCTTTCAACTGAGGGTCTTCCTCTCCTTCTCTGACTCTCTACTTTTCCTGGCATAAGGCTCTTGTCCAAGGACTGTCTCCTCTTGATAATATACCCAATCCTTTCCTCTGAGGAGTCCTTTGACTGCACTTCTCCCAGGGCAGATTCTGGCATCCTGTGATATGGTCAGTAATCACTGTGGACAGCAGGGACAACGGTGCATGCATGCACAGCAGAGGTTGTGAGGATGGTGTGGGATCAGGCAGGGTTATTACATACGATCGATATGACTGGAGTCGGCCTGATGGCCCCTCACAGTGCCCTTCCCTCCCCTCCCTCACACTGGGGCACAGGTAGGTTCTCTTTCCTCGTTGTTTGGTGGTATATTACTGTGAAGATACCGGAATTAAGATATCACACAAGCAAACTCCAAAACTCACGACTAGCAAGTTGATTCTGATTCTGAATAACAAACCATTTAGTCTGGGGCTGAGAAACATTATGAGAGGAGACTGCCCATCTTTCGCCCCAGGAATGGCTGGTAGATTTAAACCACTGACCTTCTGGTTAGCAGCTGACACATCACACGCAAGGTACCTCCAGAGCTCAATGAATTTTAGAAGACACAATGTATGGGAATGATCGTGTGAAACACAGTGCAGATGAAGGAATGTATAGAACACAATGGATATGAATAAAGCACCATACATATAACTTTTATATGCAAATCAGTAGAAAATAAAAACAAAATTTAAGAAAAGATATCATGTGTGCAGTTAAATCTATATAAGCCTAAATGAGACTTGGAAGAATATGTTGGAAATGCTCTTTGGTGTAGGGAAAGTTTTAGTTAAATAGTAGTAGTTGTGGTTGTTGTGTACCATCCAGTTGGAACTGACCCATAGCTGACATTCCACGGGGTTTTCAGGGGCAGTTAATCACATGGGAGGAGGGGCAGTTAATCACATGGGAGGAGATTGCCCATCCTTCTCCTACTAAACAGAGCAAAGAAATAAATAAGAGCGTGTCTTCAAGAAAGTACCTCATTGTGTTTATACAATATGATATCTATTCTTAAAACAAGAAAGTGCAGTTACACAGCACAGCATCACTGACCGTTTTAAAAATGGCTTTCGAGTTTCCAGTGGCTGAGAGTGGGTCAGCTTCAAAATGATCAGGAGTCAGTTTATGTATGTAGCCCAGGTGGTCATAGTATAACGTGAACACTTTATCAGTAATAGTTCCAATTTCACTGTATCTCTTTAATCCTGTCAGGAGAGAGACAAGTCTTTTAATGTTGCATGGCACAACTCAAAAACTTTACTATTGCATTTAGTGAACATTCCTTTCTCTTGGCTGAGATGTGGGAGCTAGCCATGGGAAACCTGAGATAGTAAAATACAAGCTAGTTAGTCTTTATCGACTTCACAGAAAACCTTTTCTAGATTCGATTTCAATGCAGAATGTATTCACTGAGTTAGAACCCCTCTTTCCCCAGAATACAACCACCACTGCTGTCGAGTCAAATTGAACTCACAGTGACTCTGCCTTGATTTCCAAAGATTGTAAATATTTTTATTTTCTTCATTAGTTTATTCATTGTCTAACTTTCAGATGCATACAAACCAGTGGAAAATAGTCTTTTGTGTCAGGTACACCTTACTTTTTTTTTTAAAAATAAAACTTTTATTTTATACTTGTTTACTTACAAAGTTTATCTATGTTATTTTTCACACTGAATCTTTCCACTTTCCTTTATCCACTCCCCCACTCTTCCCTCCAAACAATCAAATTATGTGACCATATGATTAAGCTTGCCTCCCACCCCCCAATCCTCACCTTTCTGCTACCCCACCCCCCGCCTTGGATCCTCATACACATTCTACAATGGTCTTATACAGTATTTGTCCTTATGGGACCAAGTAGTTCACTTGAGATGTTCTGCATACACGCTGCTTGAAAGGCTGTAAATCTCTGTGGAAGGAGATTGCACACCTTCAGGAAGAAAGCAGTGAGGGGACAACATCAGGATGACAAAGGATTTACTGATTGAGACCCCCAGCTCATTAGGTATCTCTACTGGAGTGTGTGATTATATTTTTTACCATACAGACACCAAATAACACTACACTGCTTTATAGTACCATCTTTGGTATGCACCCAGTATGTGTGTGTGTGTATAGGTATAGGTATAGGTATAGGTATAGGTATAGATAATGACGATGACCAAGAGAGAGCTACGTTGGCCTAGTGAAAAGAAAGCTATGCTACCAAGCCAAAGGTGGGTGATTTCCATCTGGGGCCCTTGGCCAGGTTCAAACTGTCTTCCTGTCAAACATTCTTCTAGGTGGTATAGCACTGGTCTCTGCGTTGCTGTACAGAGGTAACTCGTGGTTACTGTGATGCTGAAGCCTGTGACAGTGATGTGCCAATCGTGGTAATGGGCACCCATGGCGGACAGTGTTGGCTGGAGCTTCCCGACTTAAACAAGCCTGGAAGCAGGAGCAGCATCCACTTCTGAAATGGCTTGCCTCTGGAAACTCTATGTACGAACAGTGCTCAGGCTGTTCATTCATAGGGTCACTATGAGTCGTCTACGACTCGATGGCATCAAACAACAACAACAACAACATAGGTATAGGTATAGGTATAGATATAGATATATAGTCACCTGTTTGACTATTGTATTCTGTAGCATTGGTCTGTCTAGTTTCTAGTTCTGTATAAACATCAGGCTGTATAATGATGGTAGCTTTACAAGAAGACTTGATATAATGCTAGTGAGGTTGTGGAGAGGTCGTAACTCTTATTTGCTGCCAGTAGGACTGTAAAATGTTAGAACCATTATGGAAAGTGGTCTTTCTCAAAAAGTTGGAAATAAACATACCATTTAATCCACCAATTCCATTACCGGGATTATATCCTAAAGAAACTAGAGCCATAACTCAGGCAGATGTGTGCACATGTTTATTGTTGCATTATTCACAACAGCAAAGATAGAAGCAACTCAAGTGACTATCAACAAAGTAATGGATAGAAAAACTATGGTACATTCATACAGTGGAACATTATGCAACATTGATAAGCAATGTACTCATAGAACATTATCCAAAATGGGTGAGCCTGGAAGACATTATGCTCATTGAAATATCTCAGTCAAATAAGCTTCATCAGAGAAACGCTTGGAAGATCTCTAGAAGCCCTAATCCACAACATGAACAGTCTTCGAAACATTCTGAAAAACTCACAACCAGGAAAGGATAAAATAGATGAATGGGACCTTCTAAGAATCAAATCCCTATGCACATCCAAAAACTTCTCCAACAGGGTAAAAAGGGAAGCCACAGACTGGGAAAAAGTACTTGGTAATGACATGTCAGATAAGGGACTTATATCTAGAATTTATAGAATACCCAAATGTCACAACAAGATAAAGATAAACAACCCAATTGAAAATGACACTTCACCAAAGAAGACATTCAGATGGCAAACAAGCACATGAAGAAATGTTCAAAAGCCCTAGATCTAAGAGAAGTGCAAATTAAAACAACCGTGAGATATCATCTCATCCCAGTTAACAATAGCATAATTCAACACAGCAGCAAACAACAAATGCTGGCGAGGTTGTGGAGAAACTGGAACCCTTATTCACTGTTTGTGGGAGCATAAAATGGTACAACCACTATGGAAGGCAGTATGGCGCGTTCTCAAAAAGTTGCAAATAGAGATACCATTTGACTCAGCAATTCCACTACTGGGAATTTACCCTAAAGAAATCAGAACTGTCACCCAAGAAGATATCTGCAGTTATCAGTAAGCACCCATGTTTATTGCTGCATTGTTCACAATAGCAAAGAGATGGAAACAATTCAAGTGCCCATCAGCAAACAAAGGGATAGAGAACCTGTAGTATATTCACACAATGGAATATTATACAGCATTGAAAAACAAGAACTTAAAAAATACAAAATGGGTGACCCTGGAGGACATTTTGCTGAGTGAAATATCTCAGTCACAAAAGAACAGCTACTGCATAATGCCATTGTTATAAATCAGGACTGACATGAGGGTTGAGGGGAAACTAAGAAAAGAAGGAATAAATAATGTACACTGAATTGAAACAGATGAGGAATAGAGCTGCTTAAAAGGAATATATGATTAGGTATTATTGGCATGGCAAAAGTCCAGAACAGGGGCTACGTAGTAAAGTGGACTGGGGGGGGGGCGGATTGTACACAATGAAAGATTTTTTTTTTAAAGAGAAAAGTGAACTGAGGAGGGTGGACAAGGAGGAAAATATGCAACAATGAATGAATGGAAATCCAAGTTCTGTATAAACTTGCATTAAAATCTTAATTTTAAAAAAGAAATATCTCACTACATAACACTGCTGTATTAAAATAGAACTGATAGGGGGAGTTAGAGGGAGAATAGGAAAAGAGTGGATAATAATGAACACTGCAAAGGGAGAGAATTGCCTAAAGGAATATATGATTATATATTATACACACACACACACACACACACACACACACACAGATATGATTCATGACAACACTCTGGAAAAAAGAGCATTGAGAATAGACTGGAGGAACGGGGGAGGGAGGGAAATGGGCAACTGTGAATGAATGAAAATCCAACCTTTCTGTAACTTTCATTAACATTACAATTAAAGGGAGCTCTGGTGGCCTAATGGCAAGATGCTGCATTGCAATCCCAGAGGTACATGGTTCAAATCCACCAGATGGTCTGCTGGAGAAGGAGGGG